AATTGTTTGATGGATACATCGAAAGGCAAAGGAGAGGCCAAGGCCTAGAGAGGTGTGGTTTATTCCTTAATTGTTTGATACGCATTATTGAGCCTAACTTTATACCATCGAATATTAGAAATAACTTTTACTCCATAATTGAAAACTACATCATTAGTTCGACTAAAGTTTGATTTCATAACATTGTAGATATATTACAACGATGGGAGTGTGGGATCATATTTAGAATGTGTACATGCTAACGAGCAAATATACCAGAACAGAATTCTACATTACATAAATATCTCCTCGTGGAGCAAAAACTTTGATATAGTAAAGCAAAAATATCCTGACGAACCCAAAAATATAACTTGTAATGAAAAGGAATTTTTTAAATAACTAACAGAGTAATTAAGTGAAACAGCATTAAGTTAAAGCCAATGAAAATTTTTAGCAAGAATAAGCTCACCTGGAACGACATCTGAGATGCACCCTTCCTTGGTCGGAAGATAGAAAGGTGAGTGAAACAAAAAAACATTGAGCAAAACATCATACTGATGACATTCCGTAGAAGATCTCCAACCATCTTCCACAGTAGAACACCATTCTTTGTAGTTATCAATAACTGGTCTTTCCAACATGTGACCTAGTGAACAACATTTACATTATAAATTCTAAGTGTAAGAATAACACCCAGCTCCATAGAGTTGAATGGGGGCTAGAAATGTTGATCTACACCCTTGCTGAGACTGTGTATCCCAATGCTTCATAATTGGTAGTAAGAAATCTTGTGATATTTAGCTTCACTAATCACTGAAGCAAGATTAGAGATTCCTTCATGCTATCAAACGAGTACTTCAGCATCCACTGGTTTTCTTACAGCTGAATATATAAACAGTGTGACGCTTCCGTCAAGTAACAGTCATTTAGGTGTTCTACCCAAACTCGAATTTTCTTGTTCCATAGAAATTATGCAAGCAAGGCGGTCATAAACCTGTAGTAACATTTTAGATTCTCAAAGTGTTTATACCATATGAACAATGACATTTTCAGAGATCCCTAAGAAAATAAAATTTCATGCTATAGCGTACAAAAATTCAACTTCAGAGAAGGAATACCTCAGAAAGCTTATTGTTCTTCTCGTCTTTCTTTGTGGAGGAAGGATCATACCTGTGCAACAATAGATATCCAGTTAAAAGCTTCTTTGAATGGTTAAGATGAATTAGCGTAGCACCATTAAGAGAATAAGGTATCATACCATTGCCGTGGAATCCCAGCTTCATCTCGAGCTGAATAGTTGTAGGGTCCTTTTAGCTCTACATTATACTCTTCTAACATGTCTTCCAAAGAAAATACAAGTTTAAGAAGCTCTCAGAAATACTGCTAGCAATAAATTCAGTCAGTACACGTATAAACTGACCTTTGAATGTAGAACAAGGAGCACGACCCATTTTCTGGCAGACTGAAACAAACCAATAAACACCAACAGCCACATGTGCAACTTCTTCATCAGCTATCTTTGCAACAATGTTTGAAGTCCTATGATCCCCAAAGCCAATCAGTTTTTTAACAAGCCGAGGTCCAGCATCTAGTCCTCTAGCTTCCTACTTTTTCCTCACAACAACAACGTGTACAAAAACCAAGGCAGTGTATGTTAAATAAGCAAAACATCACACAAGCATTAGCAATCAAATTTTGGCATTCTTATTCTATGAATTCTAAAATGTGTACCTGAACTAATGGGATCACTGCCAGGCGTGCAGTGATATTATCTGATGATTTCTCACATTCCCTCCACAGAAAATTATGAGCTGGCATGTCACCGTAGCTTTTCAAGAAGAAAATAATTGATGAGCTAGACTAACCAGAGTGCTATTTTTTCAAAGTAAAAGCGAAATCTACCTGAATCCAAGTTCTGCCAATCTCTGTGAACACCAAGAGAAATGACGACTCTCATCATCAGCCACATGAGAAAAATCAGCAAAGAACCCTTCACCAAGAAGCTCGCTGTATGGAGAAAACCGAACTACAGTATCCCATGCCAAATCAATAGCATTTAGCTCCACGTGAGCAAGATTATGAAGCATATAGGCATTGAGAGGCAAACCCGAGGTTTTTGGAGGTGGAATTTCTTTAGGCGAAACCTGAACCAACGATAGGAAGTAATTTAACTAAAAAAATGACAGTAAAAAGTCAGATTACCATCCCTCTGCATAAAATAGCCATTTCATTATCATGAACACTGCAGAAATCTTTCTCTTGATCACGTCCATCTCCAGCTCTAAGTTGGATACTTGAAACATTCCAGTCCGATGTCTATATTTAAAGATTTTCGTTGTAAACTAAAGTTCGAAGAATTTTTTTCTTTGTTGGGAAAATGTCGATACATGCATGTTGAGCACGAGTCTATTTGACTAAACATAGACACATAAACCTTTATGATTTACTAGTATGGCAAAAGATAAGGTCAAAACCATTAGGATTTAATCTTGAAAAAAGGAATAGTAAAAAATTTGGCTGGTTATATTCAGCTTAAGCAGTAGGCATGTCACTTCAAATTGTTCAGGGCATTATTCTTATAAAGGCTTGTGGATTGGGAAACCAGATCATCTCATCAATTCAAATTCCTCCTGTGACAATTTTCACTACATGGATAGTCTATAGTCGGAGCAACCTCAAGAATACAGCTACCACTTATCAGGTACTTAGCAGAACGTGAGGTTGGAGTTCTCTTTTGGCCTCAATTTGTAATTTTGATGCTTGTCCATCAAAGCTCTAATAGAATATCCACAACTATAATACTGTCTTCTCCTGAGTATTGTAGCTAACTGCACGATCCATTCACCAATATGAATTTTGAGAGTAAAATTAGATTAGATGTATGATATTTTTGTTTATACTGAATTCAAGTCAAGTCCATCATGAATAGGTTACAAAATGTATATAGAATCCGAATTTCACATTGCATTCGTAACCTAGAAATAAAATGATACATTTGAATTTGAACTGATTTTTTTATGAAATTCAATTCCAAGTTCCTATATCTTCAAGACGCTAAATATGTGATACATATCATCATAATGGGAGCCAAAAAACCTAAAGAAAATCCAATAATAACCAATACAAAAGACTAATGTTGATAAATAAATACAGTGTTGAAACTCATAAAAGAAGAAAAAAATTACCAGTTGGGGCTTGAGTGGGCGAGCAGGCCTAGGAGGTGCTTGAGAAACTCCAATAGGAAGACCTTCTCGGCGCCATTTATCGTAAGCAAAATGGGAAAGCTTTGACTTAGTAAGAGGGTCAGCAGTAGAGAGAACAACAGCACCCATTTCTGCTAACGAAGAGCAGGACGAGAGTAAAACCAGTGGGGGATCCGTACCCATACCCGTATCT